CTCTTTCATTACTGTCCTGCACTCAATGGGTCTGGGTGGTTTATGCTTTACGTTTAAAACTATGAGTTCCAAGTTATTAACTTTTTATTGATCAATACGCAACCGTTCTGTATCCATACAAAGATGAATAATAAGCAGAAGAACAGGAGAAAAAAGTGAAATTAAATCCTGATGTTGCAGATAAAACACTGAGAAAAAAAGAAATTAGGTTGACATGGACAGTAGCATCAGCTTACTGTTAATTATTGATGCTGAAGCGTTCTCTCGATGGATTAGTTAGGTCTGCCCAACTTGCAGACTTCTTTATAGGACAATACCAGGAAGTAGAGCCGGATCTGGGCTTTGATCCAAACTGGGACAATATCATGGCTACCTGTGGGCTCGGGAGTGTACGGATACATTTGCTGTTCTTATCTCATTACTTTTGCTTGACCAACGCTGAAGATGGTCATCAGCAGTGCTATAACTGTATTCAGATTGCCGGCATGGTTTTCAGCATATCAAATCTCTTCCCTCATGTTCTCTGATTCCTCCTCCTMTTCTTCTATCCATCTTTCCTTCCTCTGTCTCCTCTTCTCTCATCTGTCAGATAACAACTGTGAGGTCCCAGCTGAGCCCCATCTGCGGATCATTTCTGGGTTGAATTAGTGTGAAATAGACACATGGAAAAGGTAGACAAAGCATGACATTGAGTTTGAGATGAGAGAGAATGAGAGTGATAGGCCCCCTTAGATATAAATACAGAGGAGGAGGGCTTAAATTTATGCTTCAGATGCACTTAGGATCAATAATAATTTAACCAGCTGTAAGACCTAATGATACCTACTTCAGCAGGTAGGAATGAGATGTGATTAAACCATTCCAATAGTTCTGTAAGCGTGACATATGTCTTTTCTCCCCAGTTTATTGTCACAGCCAGGTTTCAAACAGACAAAATGTCCCAAAAGTATGTTTAAAATGAAAGTGGCATTTCTGAAAGGAATGCATACCTTCTGCTGCCTTGCATGCTAACATTTTTAGTATTTGAAGTAGATGCTGTAGATGCCTCTTCTCTACCATCAAATTAAATTTTACATAAATGTCTGTAACACTGACAGCATTATAGCCATTTTAGTGTTGGCTAAGGAGGATTAGCTGCAGCAGCCATCTTGAAAAGAGTTGACTCTAAAATGTATTCAGTTGTAGATGATAAGTTTGTAAAAGTTTCAGTGAAGTCCATCCAATGATTGATGGGATATTTTGGTAACAAACAATTCCAATTTCTCATCACATGGTTTTAAATAGATAAAATGTCACTGCGCTTTCTGAAGGTCTTAATTTGAAGAACTTGATTACCTTTTCACTCATGTATATTTTAGTCCTACGTTTTTTTCTGTTAATCTCAGCATGGTGTTCATAAACAGTTTACAAAATTAGACAAGTGAGGAACAAAAGTAATCGGGTTTTTAAAAAGACACAATTTGTAAAATAGTACAAATTTTTTGCTTATTAGCAAATAATAAAGTGTTTACCTTTAATTTCTTTTGGAACCCCTTTAGCTTGAAAACATTTAACTTAGAGGAATTTTTCATTTCTAAGAAAAGAGATAGGTCATTTTTCCACTCAGAGAAGAAGCTATTGTGATTTATTTTTGTTCTCCGTTAGATGATTACATTTTTTATTTGCTACAGTAAATAAAAAAATCCAGTTTTAACAGAAGCCAACATTGACATGACTTGTAGTTTGACCATTATTGAGACAACACTGAGAACAGAACCAACAATGCAGCTTTTATGACTGGAGAATTAATCAGCCCAACTAGCTGTTAATTTACAAAGAGTTTACATCTTTAGTACAAGGAAATGTTTAAATGTGAAAAGTGCTTGCCATACACTGCTTTGCTTTGATTACCTGGACCTGTTCAATGCATCATGAGAGACAATGTCTTGTTGTCACAGGAATATCTAGAGCAGTGGTCCCCAAACAACGGCTCACGGGCCGGATCCGGCCCGCCTCCCCATTTGGTCCGGCCCCCAGAGCAATACCAGAGAGCATTTAGGGTTTTTTTTCATATATGTGTATTTTTAAAGTTGGACTTTTGCAATAAAATGTTCCTTAGTTATGAACTATTTTCATTATTAACTATTATTAGTTAGTAACTATTTCATTCATACACGCATTTAATGTGATATTCTGTTCCACCCTTCTGCGGTCTGTGCCCCTGTCTGGCAACCCCCAGAAAAAAATCCTAAACCCGCCCCTCTCAAAGAGAGAACGGAATAATGGCGAAAAGATTAGGTAAGAGAAAAACTGATTCAGAATGCAGGGCATTTAAGCTGCAGTGGACAAACGATTATTTTTTTGTTCATCTGTAACGAGGTGGTGGTGGTATTCAAAGAATACAATCTGYGGCGACACTATGAATCCCGTCACAAAGACAAGTATGATAGCTTGCAAGGCTAAATGTGAGCAAACAAACTCTCAAAGCTAAAAAGTGGACTGTTAGCTCAGCAGAATACAAACTGTGAAGAACCCAGAGAGGGTTATTTGATTGTGCTTTCTGGAAAACAATAAATTTTTACATTTAGGCACTCCTGCAATAGTCACACTTTTTCTGTTACAAACTGACTCCGGCCCCCAACCAGAGAAGGGAAAAGTTATGTGGCCCTTACAGGAAAATGTTTGGGGACCCCCGATCTAGAGGGTGACACGTTTCCATCCGAGCACATCAGGGAAACAAGAAACAACAACACAAACTGAGAAACACACAGCTGTCTACGGCTCCAGGAGTCGACTTCCTGACGAGTTATCAGCTGTTGACGAGGCTCTCATTGAGGCTGCCAGACATCTCCAGTTGATTAAAGCCTTTTCTCTCCTGTCCAAAGTTGGGTCACAGTGATCTCTGCTAAACAAAAATAAGTCATGTCAGAACCCTTGAATAACCTCTTACCAAGATTGGTTGCACAAATAACAACCAACCATCAATTTTCACATCGCAGATTTCATTTCCATGAATTATATATTTTTTTCTGAGTTTTAATGTCTAACTGATTTAGTGTGCAAACAATCAATCAGCAAAATCAGATTGAACCTTAAAGAGAACAAACACTAAAACTGTAGGTCACAGGTCATGAAAAATAGGGCTTGTTTATGCTACAATGTGAAAAGACCAGCTTTTATGGTACTATGTAATTCTTTATATGACAGACTCAATGAGGTGTTTTCTTTGTCTTGTGGTATTTCATTTTCATTTATTGTAACATTTTATTTTCATTTTAACCCAAGTTGATGACATTTTTCATAAAACTACATCTTTATAGTTCAGAAAAATGACATCATTTTACTATAGCATTAAACTCATCACCTTGTCCTTTTAATGTCATGACAACTACCTGCTGTGAGGCTTGTTGCCTTGGCAACCAGAAGGATGGTTTGGCCTGAAAGGATCATGACTTCTGGATGTCACATTGGTATTGGACTATTATCTTGTCGCTGTCTAGCATTCTTTCATATTGATCAATAAACCCCTATTAAAGCATGTTTTTATTATTTATTTCCTTCATTGTGTTGAGTTATTGTATGTTTCGTTGTTCTCAGGAATATTTATAATGTCTGAAACAATATAATAATTTGATAAATAGCTTTATTTACCTATTTGATCATTCAGTGCTTTTACATTAAGATTTAAGAAGGTTTTTCCCTGCCTAAGTCTGGTACCATTAAATCATTTGGCCATTTCCTGTTTTTCATTTAGTCTTTTATAGAAAGTGTGGCTCTGATGTAATCGGCTCGGAGCCCTACTGTGAGGTGGGCAGACAGGACAGGGGTGTGGGGTAAAGGGACAGGATGGGGCTATAGGGTGTTGATGGTATGGGAGTGAGGAAAATGTAACAAGAGATGAGGAGCAGGAAGAGCTGAGATTAGAACTGTTAACAAAGGGATTAAGAAGTTGTTTGAGGATTAATTTGAGCCTCGTCTAAATAAGGATTTGGAACTTTTTTTCTTCTGTATTTATGACCTGGCTCAAACCTGCTGAAAACACTGCCGTTACAGAGTAATAGAGACCTTTTCATTTAAGGCAGGATGTCACAACATCTGAGGTGTTCATGTTTATTTTTCTGTTCGGTGCCTAAACTATGAAAAATGCTAAGATAATTGCCTTCCAAGATTTTTCTATAAAGTATTCATCAATCAAAGGAGTGATTTTTCTTTAGGTGTTGGTGAAAGTGATTGAACTTTAATAKGAAACTTGCATCGTCTTGGACTTCCTGAATTAGCACTTTATTTACTCCCTGTTTTCTCTTTATTAAGAAATTATCTTTAGTTTGTATTGAAATTTAAAAAAAAAGTTGAAAACATCTACAAAAAACAAACAAAAAAGATGACAACAAAAAGATGATGTTAATTCTACGTTAATGTTTTGCTGATTACACAAAATGCTGTCCATCATTAAGCTATTTCCTATCTATTTTGATCAATAAATTATTTAAATCAATGACGCAGTCACTTTAACCGAATGAAGGGCATTCCAATAAAGAACGATAAAAATAATTCAGGATGTGCATGAAAACAACTCTCTCGGGTGGATTTCAGAATTTGTAACTGCTTTTATTTGCAGCCACAAAAACTAATATAATATTTAGCTTTTAACTGGACATTAGGCAGTGCTCACAGCAGAGCAAAAAAGAACAGTGGCTGATTTTCAGAACTTTGTGGAGATAAATGAGAAGCTAATCTTTTCCACTGATTTTATCTAAGTATCAGCTGATCTCTGATCTCCATTAATCCCTTAAATTCTGAGGGCTTTCTTTAAAACTTGAAAAGTAAATAGACCAATTTTCTTTCTTAGCCATTAAAAATAGCATGAACCTTTAGCTTTTTAATAAACTATTCTACAGACTTATGAGTATAAATAAGCATTTATTAATCATTACAGATAAAAGCATTCAATGTGAAATAGTTCTATATATGCTTTTGCATGTGGCCTTAATGAGTGAATGATATTTAATTTGCTCCATCAGGAGTGAGCCTCGCCGCCAATCAGGAAGACGAGACAGACATGGAGACGTTTCAGATGGAAATTGACAAGGAAACTAAGAAGTGCACGTTCCGCACCAGCCAAGGGCACTACTGGGCTCTGGTGGCTCATGGAGGCATCCAGTGTACGGCATCAGAAGTGTGAGTGACCGCTGCAGTGTTGGCCGGACAGAAAGTTGATGTGACCTAAATGTGACTGAAGAAGGAACCGTTTCGCACCACTTATTTTGTGCACCATTGGTTACAAAGCATTATGTTTCCTGCTAAGCTTAAATCAGCACAATTAAACAGAGGTATATAAAGTACTTAAAAGAAATAACTAAGTAAAAGTAAAAATACCTTAATAGAAAATGATTTTGGTAAAAAAAATTAATTTCATCAATAAAAATCCTACTTAAGATTCGTAGAACTGCCCACAATAATCTGGACAATAAAAGTAGTTTTACACACACTCCAAGAAATGAAGTGTTGTTTTTAATTAACCAAACTGGTTTCATTAAACTGAGTTTAGTAAATTTACAAATTTTCTTTGCTTCACATTTATATAAAAAAAGACAATTAGGGTAGGTCCTGTGGACAGGCTTTGTTGATGAGACGTTTCGTCTSTCCTCCAAGAGACTTCTTCAATCTGAGGAGTTTCAGGTAGACTCAGCCCTAAGCAATGTCTCCACATGGTGGACAAACAGGTTTAACGATGACAACCAACACTGTTTGTTCACATGCAAAAGTAAACCAGTGCCCTGATTGTCTTTATTGAGGATTATGTGCACCATCTATTACTGCTTCACATTTAGTCAGCTAGGCTTAGTAAAAATAGTTCATATAACTTGGTTAAGTAAATTCAATGCTTCATTAGTTAGATTGATAAACTTCTTTCATGATGAGGTTTGTGTTTAAGATCAAAAGATGAGCATGAGACAAGAGTTCCGAATGTCAGCTTTTATTTGAATTTACGTCGAACAGGTCACCCAAGGAAAACAACAGCAGTTAACAGAAATATTGTGAAAGCTGTGAAGAAAACCCYCAAAACATCAGTAAGTGGCATTGCCAACGACCTCCACAGTGCAGGGGTGAAGGTATCACAAGCTACTGTTTGAAGACTCCAAGAGCGGAAACAGAGACTGTTTGCAAAGATGCAAACCACTCATCAGTAACAAGAATTGGAAGGCCAGATTAAAATCTGCAAAGTGAAAGACGAACCGCAAAATGGTAAATGGCTTGGACTTATACAGCGCCTTATCAAGTTCATATGGACCCCWAAGCACTTTACACTTCGGATGAAGTGTCTTGCCCAAGAACACAACGACTGAGACAGCYGGAGTGGGGGATCAACCAGAAACCTATACTGGTTACGGGACAACTTCCCCTAACCACTCCACCACAGCCGCCCTCAAAGTAAAAAGTTCTGGAAGACAATCTTATGGACTGATGAGACCAAGATAAATCTTTACCAAAGTGAAGAAAAAAGCCAAAGTGTGGAAAAAGAAAAAAAAACTGTTTATGATCCAAAGCACACAAGCTCCTCTGTGAAGCATGGTGCAGGTAGTGTCGTGGCTTGGGCGTGCATGGCTGCTTCTGGAACAGGCTCAATATTTATTGATGATGGTAGCAGCAGAATGAATTCCAAAGTGTACAGAAACAYTTTAATTCAGTTCAGTTTATTTATRTAGCGCCAAGTCACAACATAYGTTATCTCAGCGCACTGTACATGAAAAAAAATCTACCAATTTAAGGAGAAATGCATTCAGACTATAATGATGAGGAATTGTATCATGCATCAGGACAAAGCACACTACCAACAAAACAAAGGAATTCATCGGGGTGGTGGGGAGGTTTTAGACTGACCAAGTCAATCACCTGACCTTAACCCAGTAGAGAATGCATTTCACCTCCTGAAGAGGAGAATAAAGGGAGAAACCCCCTGAAACAAACAAGAACTGAAAGAAACTGGTAAAAGCCTGAACCAGCATCACAAACAAAGAACGCAACAGTTTGATGATGTGTGTCGCGGGCTTGAGGCACTCATTGCAAGAAAAGATAAAAAATATTAAATATTTACTTTAAGATAATTTATTCCTTTACTTTTGCTCACCTGAAAACCCTGTGGTGTAATACAATATGTTGTTAAACACATCTACATTTAAATACTGGAATACAGGAAATAAAAGCTGACATTCTGAACTCTTGTCTTATGCTCGTCTTTTGATCTTAAACCCAAATGTCTTCAGTGCACAACACAAACTAAAGAATTTGACTTGCTGTTGAGGGGACTGCAAAYACAGTAACAAAGTAAATGTAATTGTACACCTCTGCAATTAAAGACGTGTTTTGTAGAGACCCTGTCCTTTAATAAACCAAGTGTCCCTTAAAGAGTTCTAAATCTTATATTTGTTTATTTGTGTAGTCAGTATGATAATGAGAATGTCCTCCCACAGATCAGCAAATACCATGTTTTCAGTGGAGTGGCTCAGCCACAAGGTGGCACTAAAAGCCAGCAATGACAAATACATCTGCATCAAGAAGAATGGGCAGCTGCTTGCAGTCAGTGACTCCACAGGTAACACACTCATCCTCCTTGTTTCTCTTTATTCCTTTGTCTCTTGTAATCAAACCCAAACTCTAACTTCTCTGTTGTTTCCTGCTCCCAGGTGAGGATGAGCAGCTCACTTTGAAACTAATCAACCGGCCCATGCTGATCCTGAGAGGGGAGAATGGCTTCATCTGTCACCACAAGAACTCCAACACGCTGGACGCCAGCAGATCAGTTTACGACATTTTCACCCTGATATTCAGAGATGGAGCTTACCACATTAAAGGTTACARTGCAACCCAGTCAAACTGGAAGGTTTTCTGTAAATACACTATGGCAAACCAGAATAGAATCTTCCCAGCATCATTTAATTAATTCTGGTTAAAATGAAAAATTTGTGTAACATTTCAGATATCTCAAATTTCTTTTTTTTCCCCTTCACTTTTATCATTCATGGGTTTTCAGCTTTAGATACACACAACTACAGTCTTCTCTTCTGGATATAACTACTTGTCAAACTTCTTCATTGATCCTTTGCTTTCTCCTCTTATCATTGTCTCTGTACAGGTATTGATGGGCGGTTCTGGTATGTGAACAGTGCCGGGCTGGTGTGTTCAGAYGGTGAGGCGCCAGAGGATTTCGCTCTGGAGCTCCTGGAGCGTGGACGCCTCGCTATCCGTGGCAAAAACGGCAAATACCTGCGTGGAGACCAAGGAGGCACTCTTAAAGGAGATGGACTCAGCCTGAGCAGCTCTGCCCTGTGGGAATATTAAATGTTCAAAGTTTAGCTTCTTCTTTAAAAAAAAAATTTTTTTGACACCAACAAACTTCCACTTTAGCATCAATCAGTAATTTAACATTAAACTCAGATGTGAAGACAGACAGGTAAAAAAATATTCAACCAATGAAGTGAAGTGTTTTGAGTTAGATCTCAAAGCTGCAAATTTACTTTTGTGCTCCTCCTTTGGAATTTTTCTTAATAGGCATTGGATGCAGTTATTGTCTGAACCTAAAGAAATAAAGGCATGCAGATTATATTACAGCTTCCTTGTTCTTACCTGTGTTTATGCTGTCRTTTTACCACCRATTGCAGGTAGAAATAGCAAGACGGCAAAGTAATACGGACTTKTAATGTCTCTCCTCCCTAATTAAGTCTGTAAGAACRGTGATTCAGGCTGCAATTTGAGATAGATACGGCAATCATTACAACTTTCAGAGGAGTTGTGCAGAGTAGAGCTGTGTGAGGATTGTTAGCAGACARTAATAACATGGTTTCAYGTAACTACCTGTAGAGAGAGCAGAAGACTGCAAAACASATTAAAACACATCAGTAATACAAAAACTGGGGGTGATTTTTAAAATATGTGGTTATTCTTTAGYAATATGAAATTATTGCCAAGAGTAAGGGATTAAATGGCAGCACTAAAAATATATTATTTTCACTGGTTTGAACAAAAATCAGCAGAATTCCAGTGTATGAAAGTAACACAGAAAATAATAGATTTTTATCATTTTTGAGAAATAACTGTGTAAAGTGGCAGCACAGCAGCTCAGATGGTAGAGCTGTTGCCTCTCAGCAAGAAGGTTCGGTCAGGGACGTTTCTGGGTAGTTTGCATGTTCTCTCCGTGCATGCATGGGTTTTCTCTGGGTACCCTGGTTTCCTCCCAAAGACCAAAAACATGACTGTTAGGCTAATTGGTAACTCTAAATTGTCTCCAGGTGGTTGTTTTTTCTCTATGAGACCCTGTGATACTTTCAACCTGTACCCTGCCCCTTGCACAGACTGCTGGATGTGACCCTGAAAGGAAGAAGCAAGTAAAGATAATGGAACTGTGTAGTCACTTACTTTTAAGATACGATATTTAGACTGAAACATCAAGAACTCAAAATGCTAGTGCATTATTGTGCAAAAGGTTTGAGTCTTTCCTCACTTGTTTGTCTTGCTTCAAAGGAACTAGTCATAAAATGATTTTCAGCAACAGTGCAAAGACATTTTGTAAACAGTTCTTTAGCACCAATTCCTATAAAAGGTATTGTCTGGAAACGTGGTCTACAGAATGGATCTTGTATGCCAGGGGTGTCAAACTCATTTTCACGCTCAAAGAGCCAGTTGTAATTAACTTCAAGGTTTTGTGTTTAACTTTGACTATACAGGAAACGTCACGGTCTTCATCTCATTGCTACGGCTGAGCACCACTACCAAACAATAACTGAGCTCTATGTGGCATTTCCTGCATGGAAAGTTTTAACATGCCCTCTTATAAACACTTAAGAATACCATGTGTATGACTGAAATAAATCATTCAAAAATATTATTAAGTCAGTTTTACTCACTGTTGAGTTGTGGTGAGTAGCTTTCCTCTTGAATTCTGAACTCTCCCACTTTCTGACAGGATATTCCCAGAGTGATGTTCCATTTGAAATTTACGACTTGCAAGTTGGAAATTCCCACTTCCCWTTACAACTGGGCCACAGAAAAAGTAGCAAAAATGAAGCAAAATGGAAATTTTACAGTGAATTTCTTCGGCTACTTTTGAACCCTGTGCCTATGAAGTGCAAAAGTGGACAAAAGCTGGACGAAAACTGCGAGACCGATCAGAGGACACAGTGCGCGGCTCGCGCACTGTGTCCTCTGATCGGTCTCGCAATTTTCGTCCAGCTTTTGTCCACTTTGGCACTTCATACTGTGCATCTCCACCTAGTGGTGGGATGGCTAAAATAATCAAGATTATGGGAGATGTAGTTTATGGCCAATGATGGCTTTAAAGGACCATAAACTATTTTAAAGATATTAATATATTTTTTAAGCTCTCAGGGGTCACATCAAATGCTGTGGCCAGTTATATTTGGTCYGCAAGCCTTAAGGTTGATGTGCTGTATGCAAATAAACAAACAATACTGACAGAAGAAGCAGTCATAGAAAAACTTTAAAAAAGAGAGAAGTTTCAGAAAGCCTGAAGAACTGATCAAGGAGTACTCAGGAGTGGTTTAAAACTTTTGCACATGAACATATTTTATGAGGTTTTAGGATTACACTGATAAACAGAAAAAAAGTTCAACCTTCAACTTTTTTTTTTCAAATAAAAAAATACCAAAAAAGTCAAAGTTTCATCAGCAGTAAAACAAAACAGAATACAGCGCAAAGCTAAGACTTTATTGCAGACAGGTGCTATTGAAAGACGTAACTCATTTCTCATTGGTCCCAGAAGCTGGTTCCGTCTGTTTGGAACCAGACCAGTCAGCAGCTTGCTGGCTGACCATCTGTATTGTTTTCTGCTGCCAAATGTGTTACTTTCTGCAGCACGTCTTCAATTCTTTATCCAAAACATCAAGTTTACCATTTGGATAAAACAAACATGTCAGTTGGCTCTGGATTGTACTCTTGACTCAAAGAATACATTTGAACAACTAAGCATGTAGATGTTGATTTTCATGCATGGGGTTATAATAGCAACTTCAAAGCTTTGCCTCTTTATGTAAAATAYAAACTCTTAGTTAGCAGGTGTTTAAAGTGTGACACAAAGCATATTTACTGTGGTGAAGATGAACGCAGGTTATTTGTTGTTGCAGTTGTGAAGTCAGGGTTACAGAGCACCAAACGAGGCCGAGGGGCAGCCGCGTAGGTGTTAAATTATGAGGAGAGGAGTTTCTCTGAGTTCTTGGTAAACACAGAGAAGGAATCGGTTCATGTGGCTGGAGGACATGCCCACGCTCARGGCTTCTGAGATTTGACTTTGCAGGATCTGTTGATGCGAGAGAGAACRAGGGTCAATCTGTTAAACTCCAACAGTTACAGACACTTCAGCTCTGTTGTCTTACACTAGTCTTAAGTTTAAAAAAAATTAGGTTTTCAGATGAACTGCAAATATTCTTCCTATTCTACAATTAACATACCAAAATTAATCAAGTAAAGATTTTACACCAGGGGGGACCAAAACTTGGTCCATGCTGAGGGCCAGTCTCTGTTACTATTTCTTAAAATAAATAATTATTTTTCCATTACATTTTCCAAATTATATTTTATGTAGCATTTAGAACATACATAATCTAACGGATAAAGAAAAGACATTAAATTGGGGAACACACATCAGCATTCACGTCTTAAGCCTTACTCTCCATCAACAAGTTTTTCATTTATTATACCTTATATTTATATTTATTATACCGCATTTCATATCCAGCAACTCAGTTTAAAAAAAACCCTTACTAAAAATCCAATTATTTGAMTTTAAAATAAGAAGGGAATTAAAAGATTACAGTTGATTCTCTGTTACTCTTTCCAGATCAAAATCAAAGATTACTAAAAATATCCAACTTAAATTTTTTGGCATGAAAGTTGGACAGCGGTCATGAGAAGAATACACTAAATACAGTCACAATCAATAAATAAATAAATAAATAAATAAACTATTTTACATTCAAAGAATTACCTTTGGTACTGCACAAACTATCAGGTAAATATTTGCAAAAACGTAGGTTACTGCCAGTTTTATATTTCATAAGGTTAGCTGTTGTGGCAGACATTTTGAAACTGGTTGACTTCAAGTCAGTTGTGAATCTGCTGAGCGCTTTCTGAAAGGTTCATTAACAGTGGTTCATAAGATATTTTGCTAACAGAAAAATGCTTAAATGTAGGTGATTACATGAAGGTGTTTCTTGACAGCAGGTGACAAACAGTGAGCACGCTGTGAACCTGAACACAAACCTCACCTCTGTCTGCTGCAGCGCTCGTCTCAGTCCTAATCTCTGGAGCTTCTCTGTGGAGGCAGCTCTCTCAGGAGCTCGCTTTAACAAACTCTGTAGAAAAAAAACAACAACAAAACAAAAAAAAAACTTTTTAAAAACTGTTTTAAACAGTGTCTCCTGCATAAACATATTCATCCAGTCTAAATCTTGATAGGATTATGGAATAGAAAACAGTGTAAAAGAACCAAAAGATCTCTCCAGTAACGTATTTTGTATCTTAACATGTGAAAGCTCAGCAATGCACTTGCATTGCTTTAGCTGGGACACTAAAACAACCTCCAGTGTTTTAGTGTCCCAGCTAAAACACTGGAGGTTATTGACAAAGTCAAAAGACTCGCGGTTTGAAAATCAGCCATCAAAATCTGCAGCAAAATTGAAAAGGTTGTTCTACTGCCATACCCCAGCGTCCCACCGGGTTTCAGAAAATCCTTTTTATGCAGACGGCACTGAAAGCGTTTAAAGAGCAGAAGCTTGGCAGGCTGTTGTATTTGACAGTGTGGGGAGCAGGTTTGTACCTGGATCCGACGCAGCACAGCGTGATGCAGACCGCACACMGCAGCCACTGATGAGCTCTCAATCTGAACCTCGACACAGACGAGGCGCTCCTTCTTCTCCAAGTTCTCCTCTTCGACGTTTATCTGGAGACCAAGACAGAAATGTTCAACTGACCCCAGATAAAACATTGATTCAGTTTTCACAATATTTGCTTTAATGTTTGCTGATACATCACTGCTTATCAAAACATTTAGCTTATTGATTGATATGAATTATGTTTGGGAGTTGTTGTTGTTGGTTTTTTTTTTTTTGGTTAATTTTAGATGTTTAGAAAAAAATTGCACTTTGTAACAAATAAAATCCCCATAAAATAAATTCATATCTATTCTCTTTAAAATCTTCTTCAGCATACTGTTTTTGCTACTTTTAGCTTTAAGCTTCCGTTCTGCTATTTTTAGCTTTTATCTAAAATTCTGCCACTTTCCCTTTTAGCTACAGATTTGCTCATTTTACCAACTGTTCTGCAGATTTTTGTTTTAGCATGTTTTGCTGCTTTTAGCTAGCCTTTGCTACTGTTAGCTTTTTGCTAACATTTTCCTGCTTTTAGCATGTTTTGCTGCTTTTAGCTAGCCTTTGCTACTGTTAGCTTTTTGCTAACATTTTCCTGCTTTTAGCATGTTTTGCTGCTTTTACCTAGTTTAGCTAATTTTAGTATTTTTTTTCCAATTTTTGTTACCATTTTGCAGACAAATTTATCAGCTACTGCTTTAAGTTTTAGCTATAGCATCTTTGTTAATTTTAGCCACCATTTTGTTCATTTTGGCTTTAACATTTTTTGCTGATATTAGCTACTACTTTGCCCATGCTCTTTAGCCGTTTTGCTCATTTTGCCTACTGTTTAGCTGCTTTTAGCCAATTTAGTTAGCTTCATACTGCTCAGCTGCATTTAGCCATTACTCTACATTTAGCTACTTTAGCTTTGCTTCAAACTACTGTTTTGTTGCTTTTAGCTACTATTTTAATTGAGCTAATTTTAAGATGTTTAGCAATTTTTAGCTATTGTTTTGTAATTTTATGTATGGTTAGTTTTGCAAATTTAAGCTACAGTTCTGCCACGTTAGGCTACTGTTTTGCTACTTTCAGCCACTGTTCTACATTTATTAGATTTCCAACTCATTTTTGCTTATTTTAGCCAGTTTTTTGCTTCTTCAGCAAGTTACAGCAGGCACTCAGCCCTCGGTACTCATGCTGCATTTTCACATAAAATTTAATTTTCCAGTATCATTTTAAATGAACGTTTCACCTCTTTTGCCGTCAGCTGAACTGCGGCTCCGTTCGGCGCGCGGGTTTGAATCATCAAGCTGCTGATGTCGATCTTATCCCCTTCGTGCMCCATCTTCACTCCTCCGTGATCTTCAAACAACAGCCAGTCAAGTAGAGTGAAGCAGAGACTTTGAGAGGCCAACTCCGGCCCCTGGGTTTCCAAATCAAAGCTTTTCAGCGTCAGTGTTTCTCTCAATAACTCTGATGACACTCGCACAATCGCAGAATACTTCTCCGGCTTTGAGGCACCGTCTCCGTGGGAGCAGCTGATCTGTCTCGAGCTTAAAAAAGCTTGAAGAGTGTCTGTTGCTTTGTTGGACTGGAGGGCTGTGGGACTGATTACTTGTGAAGCGTTCAACCAGTCCACTGTCAGCGTGTTCAAAGGCAAACTGAAACAACTAGTCTGCAAACTGGGAAATACGCCTGCCTCCCCCTCCTCTCCCAGGAAACCTGAAAGCGACAGGATGAGCGAGCAGTTTACAGTCAGAGGGAAAGRTGCGTCGCCTGCAGCTGTGACCGGCAGCGACACTTCGAAACTTTCCCCGGGACAGAGATTGAGGAGCGGGACAGAAAAATGAGTGGAAGGAGTTTCCTCTTCTGTGCTGGAAGAATAGGACAGAGGAAAGACGGCGATGCTGAGAGACCAGCCTCGCTCCAGGACGTAAGGACTTRAATTATTCAGGACACACTGAAGATTTAAGGTGTCTTTTTGGAGAGATCTGCCCCATCTTGCTGTGGCGTGACACCTGATCGGYTTCTCTCTGACGGGAAAAGCTTCTTCGACCTTTGTACTTCCTGTCAGCAGGAAACTGATGTTTACTACCTGATTCAGCTGCCTCAGGATGTGGTTTTTGGATTTGATGACCGTTTTTAGAACTGATGCTCTAAACAAAGACAACAATAAAATAAGGGTAAATGATAAAAAAATAAGGCTACTCATAAATGATTAAGGCCAAAAATGTTTAAATACAGAYACCGTTTACCAAAAACATATTTAAGTGCCCCTCGCAGTGACTGCTGGGTATGGGCACCAGTGACCCGCGTGACCCCGAAACAAAGAAGCGAGTATAGATAATGGGTGGATGGATGGATATTTAAGTTACCTTTCACAAACGTCCCCAATGGCAGACAGGAGGTCCCCGATGCTATGACCAACCTGTAAGGAGTGGGGCCTGGAGAGTTCTTTATCTTGCCCCCTCACAGGTAATTTAATGCTCTGAATCTGCCCCCTGACCGTCAGTCCAAGCAGCTGAACTTCACCTGAGATAAGAAGGAAAAAAAACAAAAGAATCATTGTGTTGATAAGTTTCAGAGTCAGCACATAAAAAACACATTAAAAAGTAATAAACAAAGCTGTCACAGACATGCTGCTGGATCATCAGGCAATTTGCTTCAAGTTATTTGCTTTACATATTCCTAATATTTCTTTACGAATTACATGTTCTTAAAATATATTCTGTCCTACAGACACAACAGATGCTAACGGCCCTTTATGCATGTACTATTGTTTTCCTTCAAGTTTGTGTTTGACATTTTATATAAAGAGAAATGCAGCTATGTGGGTTGTTTGCTGAGAGAAGTGGATCAGCAAAAACAGAAACAAAGCTACAACGCAGACAACTTTACAGATACTGAGCTAACATTTGAGGCGTTGACACTGATCCCCAACACACATACTGACTACTAACAATATGCACAAGATTTTTGTTTAAGTCGATCCAAAATCAAGATAGCCACCAAAATATCTTCAATGCTATCATTTCTCCACAAGATGATCTTAGATTGAAAATAAAGAGCAGCAGCAGGCGATACGCATCCTTTCCAAGAATAAAAGCTCTTTAAATTTTAAATATTATTGAAAGCCTGATAAATTTTATTTAAAAAGGTTGCATGAATATACCCCTGTAGTTTTCTACAAGCATGGCATTGTGGGTAGGGGACAGACGTTTATCAGTAAAAACAAACCCACATCGATGTTAAAATTAACGGCTGTGATCTCTTTTTTTTTTCTCCACTCAACAAATGTTTTTTTGTGACGGTTGTCAGAGAAAACACTGGATTAGATCCAATTTTGGAGCTTCAACACAAGGTAGGACTTTTTCAGTGCTAGGGGTCGATAATAGAAAGTGCAATTTGAAGTTTTTATTTGTTAAAATATATTTTTGTAATTGTGACAACTTTATTTTTAACATGATTTTGATTTACATTATTTTATGCATTAACCAATAAAATATTATCACTGTTTTCAATGTTATTTAATCTTTCAGTTTATTTCGAGTTTCGTTCTTCTGATCTGCTCTTACCCACAAGATATTCTATAAACAGTACTTGATTATGTCCTACTGGTACCCACCACCTATAATAATGATCCAGCAGATAGTTGGGACTTCTGCTCATGTAGTTAGTATCTACATAATGATATACACCAGGGCTATTCAACTAGTGGCCCGCGGGCCGCATCAGTGACCAAATTTCGGCACGCCAATTGGTTTATTCATCTCTTAAGCCAAACCCCCGGTTTTCTACTTTAATTACTCTCAGTTCTTTTAGTTAAACATAGACATATTTGGTATCTACAGAAATGTCAGAATCTTGGCTAGAAGCTGGTAAAAACCATTTCTATAAACACTGAAGACAGTTAAAACTACAAGCAGTTGAAGATAAAATGATGAAAGTAAAAATAAAACTGGTTTAAAAATTTGGCAAGTCAGAGATGTCAAAATATTATTTAGTGGCGGCTGTGGCGGAGTGGTTAGGGGAGTCGTCCTGGAACCAGAAGGTCACTGGTTCGATCCCCCATCCAGCCGTCTCAGTCATTGTGTCCTTGGGCAAGACACTTCGCCCACCTTGCCTACTGATGGTGGTCAGAGGGTCCGGTGGCGCCGGTGCATGGCAGCCTCGCTTCTGTCAGTGTGCCCCAGGGCAGCTGTGGCTACAGTGTAGCTTACCATCATCAGTGTGTGAATGTGAGTGTGAATGGGTTAATGTCTGTTAGTGTAAAGCGCTTTGGGGTCCGGAGGGACTTGAAAAGCGCTCTATAAGTTCAGTACCATTTACCATTTGTGTCTAATAATAGGAGGCATAATGTGTTATTTTTGTTTTTGATAATGTGTAAATATCACTACTTTTATAGGGTTCTGTATGTTTTATTCATGATTAAATGCAGCAAAATAAACTAATTCAAAGGTAACAGATGTTTGTAGTACTTGCTTTATTTACATAATAACTTTAACTGCTGGATGTTCGGCCCCTCAGCTGTTGACCAGCAGTAACTGTGGACCCTGGAGCAATTCAGTTGAATAGCCCTGATATTTACTCTCAATCGGGACAACAAAAATGCTACCAAAACAAGCTCAAAAGGTAGATTTAAAGCTATATGAAATATATGTATGAATGCACAAATCAGTCTGGAGCAAATACATCAGGTCTGTATAACAGCGTAAATTTACGGGTTTAATCTGTTTAATCCCAGTAAAAACCTCAGTGTTTATCCTGTGACCTGCAAGAGTTAGGCTCTGCTAGGAGCATGCACACTCCTAACTACAAAATGGTCTATTAGGTGATTTTGTCCTCTTTTTTTTTCTTCTTCTTCTAGGCAGCAGATTCATGCATCTAAAAACAGTTAACATGCTTTGCATCTGCTTACCTGTGGTGCTGAATTCATTTAAAGCAACGACGCCGCACACGTTTATACTGGTTGGACTTTGGAAGGTGGCCTCATCCTTGTCTTTGTCCTCTCTCCCAGCTGACTCCTGTGCCAGCTTCAGAGTGAGGAGGTCTGAGCCAGTGCTGTAGTAAAGACAATCTTTACCCACGATGCCGCACTCCACAGGTCCCGACACACACCCCTCAGTGAAACGAGCAAAGGCCCCTCCTCTTTCTGGCTCAGCTTTATCAGCCTTAATCAGCACGACTCTGCCTTGTTCGCCCACCACCGCGAAGCACCGCGCCTGTCCTGGATCTGTTTCCATGACAACAGATGCTCCAGCAAACACAAGCGGCTGCTCGAGGCTATAGAGAACTCGGAGCCGTGATCCTGGCAGACCCAGAGGGAGGAAGCACAAGCGCCCATCTGGCAGGCCGCAAAGAACAACTGGGGATTTGGAAAGAGCAGCTTCAACCCCGAACAGAAGTTTGAAGAGAACCGGTTCGAGGCAGAAGTGGGAACGGCTCGCATCTGTGGCATCAGGGGAGGAAAAAGGTGGAGGCCTTTTCCCAAAGTGGGCACAGAGCAGCACAGACCTCCCCGTTCGTCCTGCCCTCATCTTTGTGTCGCCGTGTAAGACAGGAGAAACCAGAGGCAGCTGGAACGAACTGAGCACCTCATAGGTGGTGGGCTGTGTTTGTTGGGKTTTTTTATAGGAAGTCAAGAGCCAGGATGTGTCAGTCTGACAAAGGGTCAGGAGCACGGAGCCAACAAGGAGCAAAGAGCTCACTCCATCTGCATTTACAACAACAGACTCAGAGGAGATTTTTATCTCAGCTGGACTGGAGGAGGCATCCCCCGATGAGCCCCTGCAGAGGTGAAAGAGTTATGTAACAAATGTGACATGACACACAAATAGGAAGCTCCTACGATTGAGTGCAGAAGTGTTTGAAGCTTTATACCTGCGTAACAGCAGCTGTAGGTCCACACAATAAACCCCACTCCCACAGGCCACAARCAGGAGCTGCTTGTCGAAGCTCTCAACCAAATCATTCACGGGCCCAGGAAACTGAAGGACAGCCTGCAAAACAAAAACATAAAGTTCACCCCCTTTTATTAAACACTTCAGACAAACTGAAGTTACTTACCGTGAGCTTTCTCTCATTAGCACTGAAGACACAGACTTCGTCGCAGCCAGTGCAGATAAAAATATTCGTGCCGAAACCAAACTTGACTTTCGGCGTGCCTTGTTGTCCTAACAGCCCGAATTCTGCCCAAGTCTCAACCGAACACCGTCCTTCCATGAGCACAAACCGCGACACACAAAAACAACCCAACTATAACTTCCGCGCCACACAGTTTGACCAGGAACAGTAAAAAACTACATTACCCATGATTACTAAAACGGAAATAGAGAAACGAGACGACGGATGTGGCTTTAGCGCAAAAAAATGTTTCTGTTTTTCTAAGCCTTAATGTTGGAAAATGTAATAAGGAAAATGTAATAAATATGAC